CATTCTTATTCCCATACATTCATCCAATCCAAGTCAGGCGCATTCTTATTCTCATACGTTCATCTCATTAAAGCTAGGCCATTCTTATTCCTAGTATATGTTCATCTTATCTAATTCAGGTCCATTCTTATTCCCATACGTTCATCCAATCCAAGTCAGGCGTATTCTTATTCCCATACGTTCATCTCATTAAAGGTCATTCTTATTCCTAGTATATGTTCATCTTGTCTAATTCTGGTACATTCTATTTCTATATGTTATCTGATTCAAGTGTGACCATAGTTTTTTGATCAGCATTCTTTTGATAAAACTATTTTCCAGAACAATCCTGTTCCACTATTTGTCACGTGTCTGGACTTTGCACCTAATGGGGATCTGTTCACGGGAGATTCTAATGGATCTATCACATCCTGGAGCAAAGGTAAGGAAACGTTCTCTATAATATATGAGCATTTTCTATTTTAATGCCCGCTTAGAAAAGCTATGACAAAAAGCGAGCTGACCTCTCGACCTTACAACCTTTAAAAATTATATTTGTACTCGATCATTTTCAATTCAAGTTTTGGTTTTTCTAACGCGGTTATGGGTCAATTTGTTTTTAGTTTCAAAGAAGGTGAAGTTTATGGTCAGGAACGCGCATGAGGTATGTATGTGTAGATGTACGTACTGCTGCTGTGCGCCATGGTCTCYTGTGTAGAAAAAAATAGAGGCTTTGCACCTCCACGTGATGGCAGCCATGACAGGAGGCAGGAACAATTGAATCTGGTCTAACCTGATTTACATGAGAAAGAATTCAGTTTACCAGGGGRAAAAGACTCTATTGTTGTACCTCCTGTCATKGCTGCCATCACGTGATGGTGCAAAGCCTCTAGATTTCGCGGGAAACGTGAAGGGCCGGGTTTCATGGCAGCCATTTGGGAGGGCAAACAATGGATTTCTTCACTCCCCATTGGAGGAAATCTTTATTGTCTTGTTCTACGACCTGGCAGCCGCAAAACCCCTGTATACGACGTTGAATATCGAATACCCTTGAGGGATATGCATTCTATTTTGAAATGGTAGCTCACGTTATGGTTTACAATATGTGATTTTCGCCTATCTAGAAGAGTATCCTGAGCCTGCATGTTTTGGACAGCGGTCTTCTGTTRACAGCTGGTGGGGTGGATGGTCGGGTGTGTGCATGGGACGCCAATAAGTACTTCAACTTGCCCCTAAGAGAAATACAGGTTTGTTTGATTGTCATTTACTCGGGCACCTTACTCGGGCACTCTGTCACTAACTCGGGCTCTCTTTGGTGGCCATTCCATCATTTACTCGGGCTCCCCGAAGTAACCATTCTGTCAATTTATTCGGGCTCCCTGTAATTACCATATTCTGTCATTTATACTCAGGCCGCTCCCTGAACTAACAGTTCTTCTTTGTGCGCAGCTTCCAGAAGTGACTGGTGTAAGTGCCCTGGAGCCGCTACAAACCGGCGAGACTGACGTCACTCTACTGGCGGGGACGACAGCCAATACTATCCTAGAAGGCTCCTTCACTAAGCCGTTTACTACTATCGTTAAGGTGTGTAAGTGAGAAAATAACGGCACGGTCACGGTGCGGAATTGAAACTAACAATGTTCTTTAAACCAATCATTGCGTATCTAATCAGAATGACGTCACACTATCTATCAACCTTAAATATTCCATTTTACAGTTCCGTCCAGTGAACACGAATAATAGTTATTTCAACTATACAAAAATTTCTCTCACACAACATCTACGTCGAAACCTTTTAAGTCTACCAGCAAGCCAAAATACAATTCTGATGATATTTTTGCAATAATGTTCTTACCATCCATGCCATCTCACAGGGTAACAAATTRGATGTGCTATCGTTCGCTGTCCACCCCTCAAAGGACCTTTTTGTCACGGCATCTTTAGACAAGACTGCGACATTATGGTCAGCAGTTCATCACGAGACTATATGGAGAGTCGACGTCGAGGTGAGGTTCAAGACTTCGTTACATATACGATATACCATGCACTATAGCTACAAAATATCTGTGTTTGAACGGCTGATATAAGTCAGGGCACGGTTAATTCACAGATTGGCATATATATACATACACTATCCTTGATTCCTAAATGTAAGCAGTGTTACTGAGTGCGATACAGATTTCAGCGGTTGTCATGGATACGATAGTGAGACATTTTCTTAATCATTTGTGTTGGTAATTATTCGTGTTTCCAGTTTCCTATAAGAGTTGCAGCCTTCTATTCCACTGGTAGCGTGATAGCATTTGGCACCCCACAAGGCAGGTACGAAGATCTCCAAGAAAAATAATAGTTCACCCATTCATCCGTTTTCCTGTTGGTTTTTTTTCCAATTTTTTTTCATTAAAATTTTCTCATCATCCATGATTTCAGATGGATCGTATTGAATGCTGAATCAGGTATACATCAGGCTTCATTTCAAGATGGCAGCGAGCCAATCACCGACCTCGAATATTCCCCAGGTAGTGACGCAAATTCCAACAAGAAAAGTGTGATTTCTTTTGTATTTTTTAGCTATCCTCTCATCCGAGATAGTTTCGAAAGACATCTATAGTTTTTTCTACCACCATTTGGAGCGGACAATGAGATGAAAAACCCAGGAATTGAACCTTTCTCAATCATTTGCGTTGTAACATTTTTTCTCAGATGGCGAGCATATCGCGGTAGGATCGAAAGACGGAAACATTTACGTCCACGCTGTCTACGATGATGGCATGACGTATAGACGAGTAGGYTGTTGTTCGGTAAGAATGCAGTTTACAAAATAGATATCGCTTTTTCTTTTCTCTCTTTTTTCTTCTTTCCTTATTATCAGCTCTTAAGAGAGAGCTGAATAAGCGCTCTACAAATGTATCATCATCATCATCATCATCATCATCATCATCATCATCATCATCATCATCATTTTTCAACCCAAATTTGGATCAGGAATATAAAAGTGTCACGTGATTATGTTCTCTCATTAAATAACCATGACAACGTTATTTTGTCGTAGAACCACACCGCTCCCGTTCTGTTTCTTGATTGGTCGGTGGATGGTTGTTTCATACAGAGCATGTCGACTGAATATGACATCATCACATGTAAGTATATCATATGAGTAAATGTGTGCGCGTGTTTTGGCGCCAAAACAATGAAGGCGCGCGTTTGTGTCTTGGCACTAAATATTAGTAAAGGCGCACGCGTTTTGTCACCAAATCAGTAAAGGGCGCGCGCGCATTTTTGCGCCAAATCAAGTACCGCCTTTTAGAGGAATGTCACGACAGCCATATTGAAGGACGACACAGCGCAAATTATTTTGGTAACGCAATCTTTTGTCATGCAAAATAATTGCATTGTTTCTTCCTTCCAACATCGCTACTATAAAACTTTATATCTTAAGTGGATAATGTTCGATCTAACCCGCTTTTTTTAAATATTTTTCAAGGGGAGATCGGAGCATTTGAGAAAGAAGAATCACAGAATATTATCCGGGACACAGAATGGAACACGCGTAACGTTGTGCTTGGATACGACGTAGTAGGTAAGTCGCTCTAACCAAATCCTAAATTTAACATCAACTCTGCTCATTTTCATGAATACACGACCAAGAGATCTAGCTATAATTCAAGACGCCTTGGCTTTTTGGCTCCCTTCAATCAAATCCTCAACCGTCTGAATTGGTAATCTTTTGAATGACGAAAGCCAAAGAAAAAACAGACGCTATGGGCTGTATTGGTCGCGTAATTATGGAAATGTATATGAAAATAATTTAAAAAATCATTGGCATTTCTTTTGAAAATTTTCATTTGGTAAGAAAATACTTTGTTTCGTTCCAGGTGTCTGGCAGTCAACACCGACCGATGGGAACCTGGTGACTAGTTCTGATCTGGCCTGGTCGCATAATCTGCTAGCAATAGGAGACGAACTGGGATACATGCGTATCTTTCGATACCCGTGTAGCTATGAAGGGGTGAGTCATGAATTTCACTTAAACATGGTTTGTGTGCCGTGCCGTGCCGACAAAGTCTCTAGTATATTTTTCAAATATCGTTATTTTGGTTCATCTCTAGGTTCAATATCATCAAGTACGCGCACACAGTTCGACCGTCCTTAGAGTAATGTTCCTCTCATCCGATAAMTTCCTACTGAGCACCGCTGGTCAAGACTGCGCATTCCTGCAATGGAGCATGGAAGGAATGGTAAAACCGCTGACTACGAAAGCCAAGAAGCACAAGTCTGAGAATTTAAAAGTCGTGGTATCGAACTCCGACAGCCAATCAGATCTCGAGGAAGGAGAAGACTATTYATCGAAAGAACAKAGCGAAAAGACTCGAAATAAATTGKCAGATGCGTTGGRTGATAAGCAAGAGGTTGAGCGAACGGGYAGGAATAAAAGCAGAAGTTACCAAAGATCCGATAACGACTTCAACCACGGCGAGAAAAACGAGAGAAACAGTAAAACTAAAGCTGAATCGAATTYTATTCGTGAAAGAAGTAAAAAAACAGACTCCGAAGTCTCAGATGAAGCCCCTGCACRAACAAGCGAAGAGTATTCATCTGAAGACTATAGACAATACGAGGACCGAAGACCTCAAGGRAAGGAGGTGAAAAATATTCGCGGACGACGAGGACGTCCGTCCAACCAACGACGTTCCTTCGAAGAGGACATGTACCAAGACCGTGATGACACAAGTGACGAGAGAAAAGGAAGAATACAGCGCGGGCGAGGAAGATCAAAACGATACTCAGAAGATGATGTATCGATGGAGGAGGAAAGCGATGACGMTGTTACTCCACAAAGAACATTACGACCAAAACAAAATGGCTACCGGAGACTAAGGTCCCCAGTGAAGGACAAGGAGGGAAGGAGACGTGATCGAGGCGCAGGTCGAAGCCATAGTGATGAATACTCRGATACAACAAGGGATGATAGAAATAGTTATAGAAATAATAGGTATGGRGGGAGAAAAAATCATAAAAATGATGGAGAACCCGGTTATTATAACAGAAACAAACGATAACTCGAAAGTCGAAAGCATAGGTTTCACAGATTGTAGCTTACTATTGTAAGTACTTAATATTTTCTTGATTTCAACCATTCCCAAGAGAATCAAAAGACAAAGACATGGAGGCCATGTTGGTGGACAGATACGAAAGAACCTAATGAAAAGTCTGTTGTTAAAGTCCACTAGATACTACGTAACGCGGTGAAAACGAAGGATATTGATACTTTTGGTCGGTAGCGTCATGCATCCCTTTCCATAGGAATATAGTCAAAAAAAAAAAAAAAAAAAAAAAAAAAAAAAAAAAAAAAAAAAGAAAGAAAGCGCGGCCTTCACGTTGGTTAAAATAAGAGTTATTGAATAGACCTTATTCGTGGTGTGACAATGTTTTCCCAATTCAGCGTGACAAACCTCTGGGGGAATGAAGAGCTATTGTTTTGAAACTCGTCGGGATATCATCGTTATTCCTTTCGTATCCTTTGGGATACTCATGAATTTTTCGAACAGTAAAAACAAAAGAAAATGAATCCCCTGGAGGTTCGTCACGCTGAATTAGGAAAACATTGTCACACCACGAATAAGGTCTATTCAATTCAAGAAGGCGTTCAAAAACCCACAAACTGGAGATTTAATAACGGAGGTCTTTCAAGACAATAATTTTGATAGAATTAAACCTAACATTAAACCCACTCAATGTATTTATAGAATGTTAATGTCGTACGCTATTTACGTCTACAAACATATTAATACAATATATATTTACATTCATTAATAAAACGCAAAAATGATTCAAAATATTATGCACAGAAGTATTTCGTAAATAAGGAAATAAAATTTTGAAACAATATCACAGAGAAACTACATTTTAATTTTGATATTTTTTATTATGAATTTACTACTAATTACAATACTGTCAAATTATAATTTTTCTTTCTTAAACTATTTGATAAAGAGGAAGACATTTTCCTGGCTAATTCCTTTACAAAAAACCATATCACTTTCAGCAACCGTTGCAATGGTAACTAATGACGTCTTTCTGGTAACCATTAGTAACTAGTAACACCATGGTACCAAATGATCGATACCATGGCAACTATATTTTAGTAAAAATACACAGGTGATTATTGAAAATCTCGCGCGCTTATTGGTCGAGAAACTCACATTATCACACGATAATAACCTCCAGCGATAATCCAAAATGGCGGCCAGCCGCTTTGTTGCTGTTACCGTAAAAAAATTTCTTTTATCTTGTTTTTTTTTTTTTTAAACTAAATTTTACTAAAACAATTATTTGCCTCAGCCTCTTGCGTCTCGGTAAATATTCCCCGATATTCACTTCGCCTTCGACGAATAATTGTACCACTATAGTAACAATTTTGTTCATTCACTATTGATGGGTTGCAAGCATTCCCGAGAGAATTAAAAGACAAAAGCATGGCGGCCATTGTGGTGCCATTAACAATGGATGCTGATGAGAAATCTTTTGTTAAATCAAAACTAATCCGTCGGTAACATTCATAATTTGACTGGCAGCAGTGAAAAACCAAATTCCAATGGGCAAATTTCAACTACAGATTTCGCAAGTTAATGAATAACCTTGGAATTGCTAATAGGATTAGGTATATGTAATAGGACTCCATGCTGTCCAATTAAGAAATAATTGGACGAGGAAAATTCCGAGGACTGACAAAACTGGATGAGGCCGTAGTCCAATTTGGCAGTCAGAGGAATATTTCGAGTCTAATTATTTCTTGATTGGGGAGCATGAAATCCCATTACCTATTAATTATATAGCTGCCTAATTAATCCCATATCAACAAGACCTGTCCAATTAAGAAAATAATTGGACAGTAACCTATATGGGATTAATGAGAAGCTGTATAATTAAGTTTGTTAATGTTGCTTTGTTGCTCAATCTATGTTTTGCAACGTGTGGCCAAGCCTAAAAAGCGTCCCATTCTTTTGGATGACGATATTAACGATTCCTTGATGATTACTCCAAAGGCGGAACTGAATGGCAGCGAAAATAGCGATGGTCGATAGTATGAATGCCAACACTGCCTGCCAAGGCCGCTGACCAGCCTTCTGCTCCTGAAGAAACTGCATCACTCTGTTCCATGACTCCTCGTCTTTAGTTGTCCTCTCTCGACTAACTCTCCTTAGCAACCGATTCCAGATATAATCACAGTCCACGTTACCAATAGCCATCATGGGAAATAGAAGAAAAATGACAAGAACAAATGTGTGTTCGTATTGGAACGGAGCTAGAGGGACAGTAGTTGTTATCCAGACATGAAGGTCGAGAAGAATGCATATGGTACAGATGATCAAATTCATCGCTATCCAACCGGAAGAGAATTCTCGGAAGATGTGAAAAGCGTCGAAAGATTCAGCGAGACGTGCGCGACAGAGGTCGACATCATCGATATTGTCTCGGAGAAACTTCGTGACTAGTCGTACTTCGGATTCGTAACTGCATCGGAGGAGATATACGACATAGCAGAGTCCACAGAAATTAATGTACCCTTGGATAGTAAGGAATATGTCGAGGATAAAGGTAGAGTGGACGCCGACATAAGTGTGATTGACAGCTATGTTTGTAACTAGTTCTTTATCGAAGAAGGGACACGACAGTCGAATGCATTCTATGATCACGAACGCCACGCCAATGACAAATGCTACGTACCCTGCGTATTGCTTCTTTCTCATGTTAATGAGTCTCAATCGGCCAATCAGAAACTCGACATCCACAGCTCCCGCCCATTGGCCAGGAAGAGTATTAGGCCAGATACGATGTAGAACAGACACTAAACACGTCATAGGTGCTATAAATAGTAACAGATTGGAGCCAATCCACGATAATGTGTGGACAATATCTACCTCGGTGTTGAGGTAGCGGTGAGATATTATCGATATGTTTGTTATTGTTGCTACTGTGATAGTGATTAACCACAGCCACGAGAAGACCCCGCTGCCACAGTGGTTAAAACAAGACGAGCCGATGTCACGGTCACGTAGCTCGGTTGATATACCGAGGTAGTTCCATCTAAAACTATCACAAATCTTACAAACCTCGTTGTCATCGTTGAAGGTGTGGTAGTTGGTGTGCGTTCGAGAGTTACGACATTTGCAGCATCGTATGGGTTGTACCAAAGCACCTGCATAAATAAGAGTGAAAATAAGAAACTAGAAAAACTGATGTAAAACTGTTGCAACACAAGACAATTTTTTGCGCAAATCGTGGTGTTAAAAGTTGGCTTTGTGCCAAAAAATTGGAGCGGGTGGCAACAAAAGATGATGGCAACAAATAAGTTTTTGAAGCTTCTCAAAAATCTGCAGCATGTTGCCACAACAAATAAAATTTTGTTAAAAATTGTAACCATGCTTAATATTACATGAGGCAACTTTTAAAGTGCATATGAACCCTTCGACAATACTTTCAGTACTGATTCTACATGAAGTAAATAGTTGA